GTATTAGTATTAGTATTAGTATTAGTATTAGTATTAGTATTAGTATTAGTATTAGTATTACTAGTCCTATTAGTATTACTATTAGTATTACTATTCCTAGTCCTATTACTATTACTGTTCTTATTACTAGTCCTATTACTATTACTAGTCCTATTACTAGTCCTATTCCTAGTCCTATTACTATTACTGTTACTAGTCCTATCCCTAGTCCTATTCCCAGTCCTATCCCTAGTCCTATCCCTAGTCCTATCCCTAGTCCTATTCCTAGTCCTATTCCTAGTCCTATTCCTAGTCCTATTCCTAGTCCTATTACTATTACTGTTACTGTTTCTGTTACTATTACTATTAATGTTACTACTCGTAGTCCCATTACTACTACTGTTCCTACTACTATTCCTATTTCTATTCTTATTCCTAGTCATATTACTGTTACTATTACCATTACTGCTCCTATTACTAGTCCTATTAATGTTACTATTCGTAGTCCTACTACTACTGTTCCTATTACTATTCATCTTACTGTTCCTATTACAATTAACATTACTGTTCCTAATACTATTACTATTATTGTCCATATTACTACTACTGCTCCTATAACCATTACCATTACCATTACTATTACTAGTCCTATTCCTAGTCCTATTCTTGTTTCACTTACTATTTCTATTACTGTTCCTATTACTATTACCATTACTGTTCCTATTACTAGTCCTATTAGTGTTCCTATTACTGTTCCTATCACTATTACTACTATTGTCCCTATTGCCATTATTGTCCCTATTACTATTACTATTATTGTCCCTATTACTACTACTGTTCCTATTCCCGTTACTATTACTATTCCTTACTGTTCCTATTACCATTACCATTACCATTACTATTACTAGTCCCATTACTGTTACTATTCGTAGTCCTATTACTACTACTGTTTCTATCACTATTCCCCTTCCTGTTCCCCTTCCTGTTCCTGTTGCCAACACACTTCCATTCCCTTCCACTATTCCAGCCGGGCCCCTCCAATCCCGCCCCCGGTGCGCGGCATCACAGAGTCTAATTTGGGGCCGGCTATGGCCCGCGGCGCGGGCTGGCCCTGGCGAGCCCCGCCAAGCCCGGCCGCTGCGCAGTCGGTCCACGCCAAAAACACACGGGCTCTATTCCAAGCGCTTCCAAAAACTGGCAGCCAGCGTGGGGCCTTACCGGGCGCTCTTCTTAACACTTTGCATGCCTGGCACTTTCGGGCAGCAAGCATCTCCAGGGTTTCCCCGCCCGGGGCGGGCGTTTTTTCGGGCTGAAGCTTAATTAATCTACCAAAAAAAAAAAAAGCATTCCATGGAGCTGGAACCGGGGCGTGGCCCTGCATTCTCAGGCTTGCCGACACTGACAAAGGCCGCCATGCACAGGCACGCCCACACGGGCAGAGTCCAGCGAGGAAAAAATAGCCGTGTGTGTTGGGCCAAAAGAAGCCCTGGGCCCGGGAATGCGACCACTCTTGGGCCTCGCCGAGCTGGAGGCCCGGCGGCATTTCTCGCGGCGCCTTCTCGTCAGATCCGCCGTGGGAATGCGACTCGGTATGTGATTCGCCGGTGGGTGATCTGTGTTTGATCTGTGTTTCATTCGTACCTATTGATTCGTTCCTAATTGATTTGTACTTGATTTGTACTTGATTCGCATCTAATTGATTCGCACCTAATTGATTCGAACCTGATTGATTCGAACCTGATTGATTCGTACTTGATTCGTACCTGATTGATTTGTACTTGATTTGCGCCTTATTGACTCGTACTTGATTGATTCGTACTTGATTCGTACCTAATTGATTTGTACTCGATTCGCGCCTAATTGATTTGTTCCTAATTGATTCGTACCTAATTGACCTAATTGATTCGAACCTAATTGATTTGTACTTGATTCGCACCTAATTGATTCGTGTCTATTTATTCGTTCCTAATTGATTCGTTTCTAATCGATTCGTACTTGATTAGTGCCTAATTGATTCGTACTTGATTCGCATCTAATTGATTCGCACCTATTGATTCTTACCTAATTGATTTGTACCTAATTGATTCGTACCTAAGTGATTCGTACCTAAGTGATTCGTACTTGATTCGCACCTATTGATTCGTACCTCATTGATTCGTATTTACTCGATCGTACTTAATTAATCCGTAGTCAATTGATTCTGGTCCAGCCGACTTTGTATCAAGTCCGGCCCTCCAATCTAAGCCATCATCCATAGATTGAGATCTAAATATACTCTCCATCTATATGTATTTCGGTATCTAGACACACTCCCCTGTACCCATATATACCTCTCCCTCCTTGATCTAAATTACCCCTCCCTCTACTTCTCGTTCTGCACCCATACATTTTTCTCGAAATCTAGTCTGAATCCAATCAGACCGCGTCCTCTCACTGTAGCCAGAAAGAGATGCGGGTCTCACAAGACTTGCCCGAGTTAGTTATCTATTGTATTGGTTTCCGCGAGTTCACAATGGTCCAAATTAGCCGGGCTTTTGTAACAGCTGCGCCTCTTTTAGCATGTGCCTCTTCCAATGGACATAACCGCAGGGCGCCAAAACCCCCACGCCTCATACGCCAGCATATTGACGCCCAGGCTTGGAGTGGCCAGGTGCAATATTCCAACCCCCATACATATTCGCGGCTGGCTAATACGCCAGCGCAGACGGCTGAACTCTAGATATGGAACTCAATCTGAACCGGCAACCGGCCCCTTCTTAAGATGCCATGACGTATATTTTGGTCGTGGGCTATAAATTTCACCCTATGCCACTATGGGCGACATACCTGTGCTTTCCTTCCCTCAACTCCCCGCACCCTAGATGCTCCATCAAAAGACCTTGCGTTTTGAGGAGCTGGTGCTCGTCCCAATGTACTCAGATCAAGGCCAGCTCATGCGTATGGCCTTGGATCTCAGAAAGTAGTATGTCGTCAACACAGTACAGGCCTCGCCTGTAGTCTGCACATGAGCATGGCTGTTTATAAAGAGAACGGGACTAGAGATTGGCCAGTGACACAAAAGAGGGCCGGCAAGGATGAAAAATGCCGTAATTGCTTTTGCCTGACTGGCCCGACCGACCGGACGAATAAACGGGTCGGCAATAAGCCTCGCAGTGCCCGACTACGGCTACTCGGCGCCGGCCGTCACCATCATTCACGTTCCTGGAAAAGCGCCCTGCTGCAACGCCTCTTTTTCTGCAAAACATCTATGTTCATATATCCCTAAATACCCCCGGAGCTTCGGTGCTGGGCGGTCGCTATGTACAATCTTCCGCCGCGGCCTAGAACTCGAAATCGATGGACGGGTCGTTCCTCAAATCAAGCTGCTTCCCGTCGGGATACTCCAAGTAGATGTGCTTCACCTCGAAAGGCACGAGCTTGTTCTCCCTGTTCGCCTTCAACTTCAAGGTGGCAACCTGCTTGTCCCCCTTGACTTTGAACTCGACGTCGATGATGCCCTTGACGGCGTTGAGCTCGCCCCACACCCACGGCCACGAGGACGCAAAGCCAATGTTGGGTCCTAGCGACAGCTTGGCTTCTTCGGACCGGCGCAAACAGTACAACACAGAGTTGATGATGGGCGACTGTGTCTTCTCGTAGTTGAAAATAATGGCACAGCTGACGGCCACGCCGACGCCGTATAAAAGAAAGTACTTCTTGTTCTTTTTTTTGTCTGCAAAAGGGTCTGGCAACTCGCGGTCCAAACTCACGGTCTTGGCCGAAAAGTCGGGCTGTGCCTCAGCGGGCGCGGCAGGCGCCGACGCGTGCCTGAGCATCGCAAAGTTGGAGAGACGGGGCTTGAAGGCCGCCGTTCTGGACAAGCCCTGGCGGGCGAAAAGGGAGCGCAACATTGTGGATGTGGGGCGTGGAGAACCGGTGGTTTGATGGTGCTGAAGGAGAGTGCGCTCGCCGGACCGGGCGTCACGTGACCGGGCCCCGCCGGCCAGGACCCACCAACGATCCCCTCCCACGATCCCCGCCGGCAATGTCCTGAAGTTAGTCTTTACAAGCGGAACCGTGTTTCCATCAAAAGTCTCTATTTATGAAGCCTCTCCTCTGCAGCTGCCGCCTAACCGAGGCTTCCGGAAAGACACATCCAATCATAGACGTCATGCTGCTCGCAAGACGAAAACTCGAAGTCGCAGAATTCAACGAGAAACCGGGCAAGGCGGGGCGTGTTCCGCGTGTACTTTGGCAAGACAACGTGGCTGGCGTCGACTTCCCATCCCTCGAAACAAAGATCAAGCAAGTCCACCACAAAGCGCATATTGTCGGGCGGGTCAAGAAAGCCCTCGCAGCCAAAATCAGTGAACGTCACCAACACCCGGTCGTCCGCGGAATGGCACGTGTGGCCTCCTGCTTCCTTTTGGCCGATCGTGGCGCTGACGATATTGTGCCCCTGATGCGAGACGGAAATGGATGTGGCAGAGTAATAAATTGCGAAGTCAAAGATACCACCGGACTTTCGGAGTGAGCAAAGAGGACGCCGATGTTCTGGGCCCGGCCGAGGCACTATTTTTCTTATCGGCGTAATTGGATGAGATGTTCATTGTGGTTGGTTGTGTTGGCGGCTGTTTGTTGTGGGGGAAATTAGCGGACCAGAAAATTCGAGAAACCCACTAGACTGGCCGCGGCGCGCGTGACCACGCGTCACGTGACCGGGCCTGTTCTGCGCGGGCACGCGTGCCCCAGGCCGGAGGTGTTTGTTCTGGGCCCCGGTTTGTGCATCTGTTCGGCTTTTCCTGTATCGTGGCCATCCCCGATCTTTTTAATTTTTCGTGGGGGTTGAATCCCCGCCCCACTCGCCGTTTTTGGTGCCCCGAGCAATGCGCACAGCACAACCTGATAAGCGCGGTCACGTGAGGGCATCACCGTGAAAAGACCCAGGGCTTGGTTATTTAGATGAGCTTCGGCCGGCCTGCTCCTCACCCACAATCATCAGAAATGGCCAAAAAAGGTATGTCTTTTCGTGAAACTTTTTATTCGATTTGCACCACTAACCCCCAGTTTCCAAGCATAGTCGTGCAGCAAGAAGAGGCGAGATCGACGTTGGCGGAGAGGCCAAGGCTTTAGAAAACCTCCCGAGAGATGAAAACGACGACGTCAGAAAACACATCATCCGCACAACCATCAAGAACGAGAATCTCCTAGCCAAGAAGATGGAATTGGAGAAGGTCAAGAAAAAGGGAAACAAGAAGTTGAGCCATACATTTAAGCACAAGACCGAGAAGAACTCCCGTCTCGAGGGTGTTTTGGCCGGCAAGATCCAGCAAAGCATCGAGAAGGCGAGATACGTCCAAACCGCCAGAAAGTCCGGCTGGGACCAGATTAACAAGAGCATTGTCATTAGAACCGATTTGACCGAGGCCCCGGCCGAGAAAGCCGGGGAGGCTGTCAGCGAAAAAGAGGCCCAGCAGAAAGAGGAGGACGAGTACGTCAAGCTGTTTTTTGGCGACCAGGCGACCACCGAGGAGCCCCCGCAAGATGAGGCCCCTGTTGCCAAGCCCAAACCCTCTGGCAACATTTTCGACATGCTCGAGGAGACTGATTGTTAGATTTGAACGAGCTTTCTAGACTGGCTCCCCGCCATATGTACAGTAGACACGTGACGCATCAAGCAAGAAAAGGAATACTAGGCATCTCCCTGTGGATATGGAATCCAGACGTAGGGTCAAGTCTGGGCAAAGGGCGGTTAAAGACGCATTTCTGTGGCTTGCCATGTTTGCGAGGGTAGGCCATAATTTGCATTGATATTACCAGGTCTCCGCCCCAAATCTGGCCGAATCTGATAGCGTGGCCCCGATAGCCCAGCCCTCGCAGCCAGTATTTAGCCTTTTCTCCAAGGTCTGTAGAACAAGTAAATCCGTAGGGACTTTCCAAAAAAAATGGAAATGCCCTTTTCAAGTCGAATGGGAGCCTGTATGTTTTTTTTTTTTGCATTTCGTGCCTCAGGCATTTGGCAGCCTGCAGCTGTCGCCTGCAGGCGTAATATTCGCGTAGGCAGTGGAAATCTGTCGGACACAGCTCTGACGTCTTCCATTCACCAGGACACAATTCGATAGTCCCTCTGTTCTATCCCTGCTGATGTACTTTTTAGCCGGTGTATTGCCTTTTTTGCGGCTAGCCTCTGCTGTGGACTTTGTGCCGTTTGATAAAAGCTCTCTAGATGAGAGCTCTTTTTTCGAGCAGTTCTTGGGCCTGGACTTGGCCGACTCCGGCTGGGTCCCTTCTTCTGCTCTGAAAATCGATGGTTCGCCGTATCTCGGGAAGTGGGAGATACAAGAAGCATATAAATACGGTGGGTTTGCAGGCGACAGGGGTCTTGTCATGACGACAGAGGCCAATTTCTTTGCCATCTCCCGGAAATTGCCCCACCAGTTCACATCTGACGGGCAAGATTTGGTGCTCCAGTTCGAGGTCAAATTCCAGGAAGGGATCACTTGTGGGGGCGGGTACCTTAAACTCTTATCAGATTTGGATCCACCGGCGTTTTCTGATCATTCAAGGTACGAGATCATGTTTGGCCCCGACATTTGCGGCAGCCAAAACCGAGTGCATTTCTTGACTAAGAAAGATGAGTCCGATGACAGCTTAGAAAGCAGATTGAGAACTCCGCCCATGGCGAGAACAGACCAGTTGTCGAACTTGTACACTTTGGTTGTGCACGCGGATGGAGATATGGAAATCAGGATAAATGGCGGGGTGGCCAAGGCAGGCAACTTGCTCAACTCGGCCAACTTGATGGTGCCGCCGTTATCTGAGCCTGAATTGATTCCAGATCCAGATGCAAAGAAGCCTGACGACTGGGACGACAGACCGGTGATCTCGGACCCTTCTGTGGAAAAACCCGCAGATTACGACGAGGTGTACAACTCGATTTGGATCCCCGATCCGAACGTGCCCAAACCTGAAGGGTGGAATGACGACGAGTCTGAGCCTTTTCAGATTGCTGACCCGGAGGCCTCGAAACCCGACGAATGGGATGATGAAGAAGACGGAGAATGGAGAGCGCCGCTCATCCGCAATCCCAAATGCCTCCATGGATGTGGGAAATGGGAGCCTCCCATGATCGCGAACACAAAGTACAAGGGCAAGTGGAGTCCGCCCGCAATTGAAAACCCGGACTATAAAGGCGAGTGGAAGCCGCCACTCATTGCCAATCCTGAATTCAGCAAGGCCGCCAATATTGGCCTCAGACCCATCAATGGCATTGGCATTGATGTTTGGAGCATGCAGTCGGGGGTTATGTTCGACAACATCTACTTGGGCAACTCTGTGGCAGAAGCTGAGCGCATTGGGAACGAGACGTTCGAGCTTAAACACGACCTAGAGTATGCCGCTTATAAGATAGCGAAACCACGGGCAAAACACGAGCCCAAGCCGCCGCCAAAGACTTTCGAAGACATCATGGACGAAGAGCCGGGCTTTTTGGCCTGGATAAGATCTCCATTTTCGGCCGAGATCAAGGAAGCCCTGGTACTCTGGGGCGCTTTTCAGGTGGATCCTGTGACCACCATGTTGCAGCACCCTATCCGCTTCGCTGTGTACTGCTTTGTTTTTGTCGTTGCTTTCACCTTCACTTTTGGAGCAGTGAACGTTTTAGTTTTCTTGTATCTCAATTCGCGTGAGGACGCCAAGGAGCATGACAAGAAACGCTTGGCTGCAACAAAGCAGGAAGAGGAGCAGTCAAAAGATATGGTTACTGATGAAGAGATCATTGCGCAAATTAGAGGCAAGGCCACGGGATCCAAAACTGCAAGGACAACCACAAGGAAAGTCAGATGAAGCACTCAGAAAGAAAGACAGCGAGACTACTGGCGACTGGGGCATCCGCCAAAAAGCATGTTGAAAGAAAACAACGGACATTTTTCTTCTTGTGGCTGCCAGGCCAGTTCAGGAAGCGCATCATGCCTGACTTAAAATTCATTCTCTTTGCTTGTGGTTTTTTCTCGATGGCCCGCACGAATATACTACTTGAGCTTAAATAGGTGAACCAACCGAAATGCCACTCCAGGTCGGCAACATCTTGCAATCAACTCCGTTTTTTTTTTCTTTACCTTTTATAATCACTTGAATCTCAGTGGAAAATAGCTGGTCAGATTCAAGATGTCCACTTTGGGCCCGGATATCGGACTGATGTCTAAGGCTGGGTTCACTATGGAAGTCTGCAATTTGCACCCAGCCGTTCTAATTCTTGAGCGCGCCCCACGTTGTTGCTGTCGGATGACTCGGCGCCCACGTGACCACCAATGCACTACCCCATACTCCGTACATGACCAGTTTCGCTGCCTTCTGCTTTCTTCCCGCCATCAGTCAAAAGATGGGCATTTCATTACCCATTTCGCTGGAAGAAAATTCCAAAAAGAAAAAGCCGTATGTTTTCATTTCTGCCGCACTAGTGTGTGTTTTCATGTTGCTCACATATCAGTGGCACAGGTCTCCGGCCGGCAGGCCACTCGAAATCAGGCTTTATACAAACAACATTCGCTTTGACAACAAAAATCTTTCACCGGGCGAGAGACTGTGGGAGTCCAGGGGGCCACTTGCTGCTCAATCCATTGAAGAAAACGCAGGACATGGGCCCAGCGTAGTGTGTTTGCAAGAAGTTTTACATAACCAACTAAAAGACATTTTGAGCCACTTGAACAAGGATGGACAAGAGTGGGGGTACTATGGAGTAGGGAGAAGCGACGGCAGGACCAAGGGCGAATACGCGCCTATTTTGTACAAGAAAGCAGACTGGCATCTCGAGTCCTCGAGAACCTACTGGCTCAGTGAAACGCCCGACAAGCCCAGTGTGGGCTGGGATGCTGCTTTGGAAAGGATAGTCACTGAGGCGATTTTGAAAAGCAAAATCAGCGGACAAAGTGTGAAGGTGCTCAACACGCACTTCGATCACAAAGGCGTGGTGGCAAGACGTGAGCTGGTGAAGCTAATCATCAGTAAGTTGGAGGCAGGCGACGAGCCATCTTTCCTCTGTGGCGATCTTAACACGCAACCTACGGACGAGCCTTACGCAATTTTGAAAAAGTCTGATTTCAGAGATAGTCGCACGTTCATGCTGAATCCCGACGAAAACGAACCCACCTTCACTGGCTTCAGCGATGCTGAGGGAACCGGAATTATTGACTACGTCTGGGCAGACTCAAAATCTCACTGGCGGGGATACCATGTATTGCCAAATTTCTTTGGTTTCCGGATGAGCGACCACCGCCCGGTCGCCGCAGACTTCCGTATTTGAATCAAAACGCCCTTTTAGTTTAATACACCTCGCACAATGAAAGGCGCTTGCCACAATCACAGTATTGCAAAATGCTTTGCTTGTCGTGCTTCAGAATAAGTGGGCCTATAGAATCTGGTGATTCTTGGAGGTGAGAAAAGACGAAGCATGTCCAAAAAAGACATATGGGAATTTATAAGAACGTGTTGGCCAGGCATATACTGTCCTTATTGCCACCAAGTCCGAGCATGACTCATACAAAAAAAAAAAAAAAAAGAA